CATGACTCATGCATAAATCCTTCTCGAAGAATCATCAAGGATCCAACATGTCGCGTGAGTGAAGGTTCCAACATGTCCCTCACATGTACAGTTGCCGCTGATCTTTTTGTACCCGAAACCCTCTGAACTTCCTCCTCACTGTTCAGAGTGCACAGGGGTTGTGATCCACGGCCGGAAGGTTTCTTTTCCATCGCTGGAGCCATGTGCCAGAGCTGCCAACAGGTCAAGCGCGCTCCGCACAGCAAGTTCATGAGCCGAGATGGTAGAACTCAAGGCTTGTGCCACGAAGCCATGGGTCCAAAAACCACGTCTGGACGCTTGGACTCATGAGAGGCAAACCTTGGCGGCTTCGGTGTCATTCCTTGCTCATCAGGCTCTCCGCCCGTGTTCGGCTGTTTGGGATGGCCGCGCGTTCGATCTGCTCCTCCTGGCTGAGGTGGCTGATTGGCTGCTTCGGACTTGGATTGGACATGTGTGTACACATCTATTTTTTGTATTATATATATATATTATGTAAATATGAGTATTATATATATATGCATGTGTACTTTGTTCATTGAATTTGGGTGTCATCGCTTTCTCTTCGATATAACGGTTACGGTATATATAATCTCTGGTTTATATATATATATATATGTATATATATGAGCTTCGGGCCCAATCCCCTTACAGTGGTGAAGCGTAGTCGGCAAAGCGATTGGGTGAGGGTTCCATGGAGAAAGCCATCTTCGGTACGCCTCCGGCGGCCGTTGATGATAGCTGGTCCGGCGTGGCCTCTTTTCGATCCACGCTGACCGGCGATGGAGCTTTTTGGGTCACTCTGCTGCTTCCTTGGGAGATGGAAGCTTTGGTGGCGGATTGCGGTCTTATCCCCACCGGTTGCACTAAGGTGACGCTCTATGATTGGAAGGTGTCTTGCATGGACCCCCTCATTTTGTCGGCCACCGCTTCGAGTCAGGCCTATCCATGCTCCGCTATGCCTAGGACATTTGGCGAGAACATCATTGAGCTCGCTGCTGGCAGCGGAGCTATGGGATTGGGTGCTCTCTTCATGGGAGCACGGATTAGGGTTCGCATTGAAAGCTGCAACTATGCCGTGGAGCATTTGAAGCACAATGAACACGGCTTCATCATCCATGATGACGTCGGCTCCTTGGCAGCGATCAGATCGGCTCATGAAGTGCTCAATGGCCTTCCTACGACAGGCTTCTTCGGATTCCCGTTGCAGTCGCTCATTGTGGAGTGCGTTCCTATGGCCTGCGCTACAGTTGCAGTTCAGGAGGCACTAGAATTGGTCTGCGGGGCCATGGGTCGGGAGAAGATTGATTTGATGCTCGACCTCAAGCTGCAGTGGCCGATGCGCCGGGCACGCTGGTGGGGCATCCTTGCCCCACCTATCTGGCTTGCAGGACCTTTTCATGGTTGGGCTACAGATCCACGCTTCCCTACGACAGGAGCACTTCTCAAGAGTTGGCCTGCGTATCTTCCAGGACGCCGCATATGGCACTGACCAACGCTGGTACGGGACGCAGCATCAACTTCCCACAATCCTGCATAGCTATGGATCGTGGTTTGGGCCATGCCCTTGCGGATGCTCACGACAAGCCATGTCCGCTGAGGCGTTGAAGCAAAAGGGTATTCGCGGTTGCTATGTGACTTCTTCATTGACAGGACAGCCTCGACTGCTCCACCCACATGAGCTTGCATTCATGCTCGGCATTCCAAGCTCCATGAAGTTCCATACCACTCCACGGGACACCCTGCCATTACTCGGCAATGTGGCATCGCCAATGCAGGCTGTGTGGGCCTATGCCATGCTTGTCAGATCGGTCAGCAGAGCCATTCCAGACATTTTCGCGATTGACCCAGCACAGGTCCTTGACAGTTTCAAGCGTGAGCTCATTCGACAGTTCTATGGAGCCCATCATCTCGACGTACCACTCACAAGCCTTTGCATTGTGGCTGAGGATGGAGCTGAATTGACCCTGTTTGCAGCTGGGACTAATCTTGCAGCTGATCTTCTGCATGCCGAGAAGCTTCAACTACACCCAGAAGCTAGCTGTGCCCTCTTTGAAGATGACCGTCAACTTTCCATGTTTGAGCGGTTTCCTGCGATTCCTAATGGGAGATGCTGTCGCCTGCGACTGCGAGTTGAAGGTCCTTACTCCAAAGTTTGCCATGAGGAGATGATCGTCATCTCCCTCCAGCAAGGCCAAGAGCATTGGGTTGAGCTGCAACGTGCAGGCCAATTTCTTTTTCAAGCATTGGAATCCAAGCCATTCGAGACCACATACCTCTTTGTTGACAGCACGGGACGTCTCTTTTCACGTGATGCAAGAATCTGGCAGTCCCTTCGACTTCGCCCACTGGGGCCACACTCGTTCCCTACTTTGAGGACTACCACTACACTCGAGGCATGTGGCCACGATGGACTTCATTCCTTTGCTGCGCCCCCTTCACTGGGCTCCGCCAACGGTCCTGGATTTCCTGTCGCAGCTGCTGCGGTGCCTGGACTTGGCGCCCGCCTCATTTGGCAAGTCATGCAGTCTCTCACCCACATAGCCTTGGACTTGCACCTGGTATGGCATCTGGCATCCAGGAATGCTTCTGCATCTTTGCTGCAGAGGGGCATTGGGCTCTTCTATGGGGGCGACGTGGGCATGATCTGCGTTGGATTTACCTTGACCCTCTCTCCGATGGACTTCGAACCTCAGCCTTGATTTTGGCTACCCGTATCACTGGACTTTTAGGTGGTCGGGTTGACTCTTTTCAGTACTCCACGCTGTACGTACAACGGGACTCATTTTCTTGCGGCGCTCTTGCACTTCTGCATATGGCTGCCGCTCTTGGACTTCCAGGGTTGCTCATGCCCAATGCGGTCAAGGCCCTGCACCTTTGGCTGCTTCGTCACTCGGGCTCTGAAACCTTTCGGGCCAAGGGACCTGCAGATGCCTCTGCCCTTCAGCAGTTGGCTGAGTTCCTGGTCAAGCATGGAGTTTTCCCTCAGGCGGCATCAGAACGTGCTCAGCGTGTGGCAAACAAAGTCGGCATGACTGCCATCCAACAAGCCTTGAACAGTCGCAATCCTTGGGCAGCCCTCAAAGACAAGGCATCACAGCCAGGCACCTCCATCCGCCTTGTTACTCATGAGGAGTTGGAAGCAAGGGCCAAGGACAAGAAGAGCCGGACGGTGGCACCTCGCATCTCTGCTGAGCAACTTGATGTCACTATGCTCCAACTTGACAATTCACATTTCAAGGATGAGGGTGGCGACGACATCCCGCAGATTCAATTCAATGAAGTACGCTCCAATGGACGGGGCATTGCCATCTGCACTCAGGCAGACGCTCGGGCTTTCATTGCGGACCCTAAGAGCATCAGCACCGATGCATTGGCACTTCTCGTGCTTCCACCACTACCTTCCGAAGCTTTGGCCTCAGCCAAGATCATCTCTATGAGATTCCCTGCCGTTTATGGTGAGCATAAAGAGCCTATGCTGATCCAAAGCACTATGGTTTGCCTGGGAGACATCGACATTCATCGGCGCGATGGAGCTTGCAGACACCAAGCTGGCAGTGTTGGACACATCTGTTTTCAAGGTGGTCATCTATAGAGATGAGCTTGAATCAGCTTGGGATCTCTTCATTAAGCATCCAGTGCGACATCTCACTGAGCTACTGCCAGCTCTTCAACTTTGTCGCGGTCGCAAGTGCGGCACAGACTGCCCAAAGTTCCATCCGCCTCTCGATGAGGAGATTGACGGTGCCATCAAGAAGTTTGGGCCAGAAAATTCCTTTCCGAGTCCGGAAAGATTGCGAATCCTACGGATGCATGCATCTACCAGCTCTATCTCAGAGTGGCAGCTCTTACTGCAAATCAGGTCCTTGAATCTTCGATAGCTGGGGTCTACATTGAGCCTCGCAAAGCAGATCTCTCCGGCACGGATCCAAAGTTTGCAGTGGTATGGCTTCCCAAGTCTGACAGGATTGCCGCCATTCGTGCACTCAAGTCCTTTGATGGAGCTCAAGCACTGGTCAGGGTCAAAGACAGATATGGAATTCGAGTTCAAGCGGCACACGCTGCCGCGGCATCCAAAGAGCTTCGACCAGACATTCCTTTCGTCGAGTCTCCAAAGTGTTCCGGCTTCACCCCATACCCCATGGAGTACAGAGAAACACACTCCTTAAACTCTTCAAGGATTGGGGATGGACTGCCAAACCTATGCAACCTACTAAGGGATCAGCTTCGGGCTCAGCATGGGAGGTTGGCGCTGACAAGCCACCACCAAAGCCGATCATGCCTGGATTTGGAGGAGATGTGCTCATCAGTGAAGTTCGAGATCGCACTACTTCCACGGCAGCGCCTCCATCGGTCATCTCATTGCGCCATCCTCGCAAGCTTGCGCCTGCGAAACAGTCTCCTGCAGATCCCTGGCTCCAGGCTTCCAATGATCCATGGAAGAGATGGTCTGCTCCTTCGTCCTCACATGTCACCCCGGGCGCTTCCAGCACCAAACATCTGCAAGAGATGGAGACTCGGCTTCAGGCCTCATTGAAGGATACTGTGCAAGCACACCTCGAAGAACACGCCCAAGATGCCACCATGGCTAGTGATACAACTCTCCTTGCATTCCAGCAGGAAGCCGACATGCGATTTCGGAAACTTGA